GGATGGATCAAGGAAGGGAGTATGTAAAGAAGACGCAGCGATAAGGCTTTTGCATACATTTTGATGTCAGAGTTCAGAAGGGATATAGGCCTATGATTGCCTGGAAGAAACGGGTCTTTTTGAGGTTTAGGGATTCTAACTATGATAATTTGCAACATTTCACCAGGAAAAGAACTAGTAATCATTACCTTGTTGAGGACATTAGTAAGGTGAGGAGTGAGAGTGTCTGCATAGGTTTTATAGTATTCGTTCGGAAATCCATCCCCACCAGGGGATTTGTGCATAGGGAGCAAGGCTATGACGGTTCTAATTTCTGAACAAGAAAAAGGTTTAGACAGTTGAGTTATGTGTTGAGGTGATAAGGACGGCATGTTAAGACGGTTTAACAAGGTCTGAATATTACAATCATTCGGTTGGGGGGTATGGGGGTAAAATTATACAGTGTGTGGTAATATGACTTAAATATATTAGCCTTCTTGTTGGGAGTAAATTGTTTTTTCCCCGTCTCCGGGTCAATCAGGAAGGCCAATCTGGAACGAGCATTTCTACCTTTGAGTTAGCTAGAAAGGAGCTGGGTTTGTTATGGAGGACGTACGAGTTAGCTTTTTATTTTTTGAGCATGTGCTCATAGTCATCTAAAAGGGGAATGCGTAATGATTGTCGTTCTGCTTGAAGGTCGTTGGATAGCTGCAGGGAGGGAGATGTGACTATAGCGTAGGGAGATTTATGGCTGGCTGGAGGTGGAATCATGTAGCCATGTCAGAGATCGGGCTGAGCACTAGTTGTTTTGGTGCTGTCGGGTGCCGTAAGGAAACAGCTGGCCACGCTAAGTCCTGTCGGCTGTAAAAATAGGAGGCAAACAGAAGCCGATCTGCGGCGTTTCTATCACTGTCGGCAACCAGTGAGTGATGGAACTTAGAAACGAGCACGGGACTGGTCGGCAAAACAGTCCATCTCGCTGGCTGGTGGGGGGTGTCAAGCTAAAGTCGGCTACGCGTTTCGAGGCTATGCCTCTTTTTCAAGCCTCTTTTTCCGGGCTTGAAAGAGTGTGTTAGGAGGAGGGAATCAAGAAAACAAGTTCTCCTCCTTCGTGTTTATCTGAAGCTAATACATTTTCTCTTTAACCCTTGTCTGGTTATTTTTTCCATCTGTTTTCGATTGGGGAGATTCTCTTCATTCCCTGTCATGTAAACAGAACAGGAAGTGATTTAAACAGAAATATCCGAGGTGAGGGAAACCCACACAGTTTTTACAGCAACTAATCTCCTCATGGGAAGTTTTCTCCCATATTTTCTGTTTTGGTGAGAACTCAAAATGTTCTGTATCTCCCTTACTTTTAGTCCTGATGATGGTTACCAGGACAAATAGAGAATTAATTTCCCTGGTGTGAGGGGGGATGTCACAGGAATAAAAACCTGATGATTGCTACCCCTTTCCTTCTGTATCCAAAGCCAAAATAAACTTTTGGCTATAGATACACTTTGAAGAAAACCAGATATTTTAAATGTTTAAAAGTTAAAAAAAGTTCTGTATGATAGCAGATACCTCAAGGTGCCTTATGTTACTGTTTGTTAGGTCAGGAAAAGAAACCTTTTTGTGTCTAACTTCAAGTCCAGCCTGCTGCCATTCCCCTGTCCAGTGAGGGAGCTGTTATGTGCCACAGATGCACTGTCAATGTTTTATTTGTCTGGCTAACAAGTTTAAAATGAGAAGTTAACTTTAAGTGACTACACTAGAACCTCATTGCAATAGTAGGCATCTACTCCTCTCGTCTAGAGTACCTTAACAGCCCATGGAACTGGGCATGGAAGTGTCACCTTCTCCTAGGAAGGTAGCACCTGGCTGACACCTTCTGCACCTCACTGTTGGTCACAATGATGGCTTAAAAGGGAAAAGCAGTATCTTGTAAGGAACTGGTTCAAGTTTTGGGATACTGTGGCCCTCTAGAACTGAGAGGAAGCTGTTTCCTGAGACCTACTATTGCAATAATGCTGGCAGAGAATAAACTTTTTAGATCCTGTGTAATGCTTTTCTTGTACCCTGTACAGGAGTGTATCCTTGGTATTGTATGGTCATAGGACTGAATACCAAAATGTATGTAGAAGCCAGCTCCATGCTGACATGGTCCACTGTCTTTTTCAGATGATGGGTCAATGTTCTTAAAAACGCACATTTATCTAGTTTTGGAGATGTTTTTATCTAGCTTCTGCCGCACAGGACTTTAATGATCGCTTATAAAACACTGATGGCACGTCAACAGCTGTTATACCAACTGGGCTTTGAAATAAGTTTTTCTGCATCTTCCAACAGCTGCTCAGATTGTTTGAACTATTGCTGACCCTCACTACTGTTTTCCCTAAAGCCGTGGATTGATTTCACATCAATTTAAGTATTTTCAAAATATGTTGATTTTGTTTGGTTTGTGGCACATTCTTGATTAGAGATTAAGTTCAATTAATGTATCGCCTTTTTGTTTGGGATGTATTCCAGTAATTATAGTGACTTTTGTCTGTTACAATCTATGTATAAGGTCACTATGTGTTTGGAATTTGTTGAAAACCTGTTTTGCACTGTTAATATTTTAATTGTGTTGCTGATTACTGAAAAGTTCTAAATTACTGATTCATAAGCATTCCAGAATGCAAATAAGGAATCGTTGAACAGAATATAGTGTGTTTTCTTTATACATGATTTGAATGATTTGGTACTTACCTCAGCAAAGCAGTTTCATTGGTTAGCTGCACGACAGTTTTCTCACAGAGCCTCTGGAACGTGGTAACGCAATCAGAGTTTTTAGAAACTTTGCCACTGCTGTATCTATATCCATAAGAGTCCCCTAGTCCTCTGTCTAGGAGTGCATTCAACAAGGCACAGAAGGAACAACTGACCTCCTGATTTAGGTTACACAAGCAGGAGCAGAGATTAGTTCTTGTTACTATGCAACCTGTTGTTGAGAACCTGCACACAGAGTGCATAGCTGTAGCTACATTCAGGTGCCTGCACATAGGGGTGACTACAGGGACCCCAAAAGGCATCAGAGCTACCCCATAGATGAAGTGAAGTTCTTTTGTCCTGCAGAAGAGATGGCCCTGCAAAGGAATTTATGGAGCGCCAAGCTAAACATGTAGCTAACACAGTATAATGTCTCACAGGAGTAATACCACCTTCATTTTTTGTGTTTCTTGAGGAGCCTGGTTGTCACTACTTTAGTATTAATCTCTGCTCCACCCAGGCCATAACAAGACTGTCTGCCTTGTGTTTAAAAATCCCTGCTCTCAGGATTCTGACACTGGAGCATCGAGCGTTTTTAAACAGCTAGTATGTGGCCAGCTAAAAGTAAAACATGTAAAAGTAAGCACACATTTACAGTGCTTTAAAGAGCATGGTAAATGTAAATGTAATGGCTAATGAATTCACGAGATTTGTTGAAAGGTGAGCGAGGAATCTGACACCATGCCTGATGAATAGCACTGTCCAGTTCTGTGAGATTCGATGGTTGTGGAACCAGCTGCCTGCTGGCTCTTTAGATTTCGTCCCACAAATGCTCAATTGGTAGGAGATCTGGTGATTGTGGGGGCCACCTAAGCAAAGTAAAGTCTCCCTCATGTTCTTGAAACCACTCCTGCACAATACGAGCACCGTGGCATGGCGCATTGTCTTTTTAGGAGAAGCCATCTCTATTGGGATACGCCATCAACATGATAGGATGAACTTGATCAGCAACGATACTTTGGTATATTGTGCTATTCAGACGTTGTTCCACACAAATTAAAGGGCCCAAATCATGCCAGGAAAACATGCCCCAAATCATAACACTGCCCCCACCAGCTTGAAGGGTTGTACTCATGCATGTGGGGTGCATGCTTTCATGCTGTTCCCGCCAAATTCTCACTCTGCCATCTGCATGATGCAACTGGAAACATGATTCATCGGACCACATGACTTTTTTCCAATGCTCGACTGTCCAATCCTTGTGTTCCTGTGCGAATTGGAGACGTTTTATCTTGTTA